AGGCGCGCGCGACGGGCGCGGCGCCGAGAGAGTTGCGAGGCGGAACGCTCTATCGAATCGGACCCGGGATGTTCGAACGCGGTGGACGAGCGTACGCGCACATGCTGGACGGTGATGGGTTGGCGCTGCGATTTGAGTTCTCGGAGGATGGGACGTCGGTGGCGTTTAGGTCGAGATTCGTGCGCGGGCGGGAATTCTCCGAGGAGGAGCGCGCCGGGAAAATTTTGTACCGAGGCACGTTCGGAACGATGCGAGACGGCGGGGCGGTGGCGAATTGGTTTGATTTGCACACGAAGAACCTGGCGAACACGAATATTTTGTCGTGGGGTGACAAGGTGCTCGCGCTGTACGAGGCGGGACAACCGGTGGAGCTGGACGGGTCGACGCTGGACACCGAGGGCGTGGACGATTTGGGCGGACGCCTGGATCCTGGACAGTACTTCACCTTGGGGTTACCCGAGCCGGTCGGTTCGATGATCGAGCGCGCGGCCGGTCTGGGCGGGCGGGCGTTCACCGCGCATCCGCACGTCGACTCCAATACCGGTTTCTTGTGCGGCTGGGGATGGAAATCGCGCATCACGTCTAAAGCGGTCGAAATCACGCACTGGGAGTGGGACGAGAGCTGGAACGAGATGGGGTCCAGCAATTACGTCATGGAGGGGTGCGAGGCGGCGCCGCATGATTTTGGCGTCACGAAGAAGTGGTACGTGATGATTCAAAACCGACTCGGTATTGATCCGCTTCCGTACCTCGCCGGCGTCAAGGGAGCGGGCGAATGTTTGATTTCGCAACCCGAGGAGCCTTTGCTCGTGCACTTGATTCCTCGTTCGACGACGACGAAATCGCAGCCCAAACCTCAGCCGATCGTCGTTGAAGGTCCTAAAGAGTCATTTGAAATTCACGTCGCGCTCGCGCACGACGGACCGCCGCTGAGTCGCGGCGCCGCGACGGCGGAAGAGCTAGACGAGTGGGTGACGGTCTACACCGCCGGATGGGACAAGCTCGCCCCGGGAGTTTTCTTAGGCGAGTGGGGCTCGAGCGATCCATGGCCGTTTCCGGTGGCCACAGAGCTGAGCCCTGATTTTAACAACATCCCGAGAACGTTGCTATGGATGTACTCGGTGAACACCATGACTGGCGAGGTCAAACGTCAGCCAGCACCGGGATGCGAAGATCTATGCATAGATCATCCACACGTCTCGCCCCTTTACGAGGGCAAGCGCGAGTGCAGATACGTGTACGCGTCGCTCAGTAATGAAGTGCGCGTGAGCGGCCCGCCGCTCGGGTACGTGCGAGTCGATCTTCTGACGGGTGAGCTTCAAAAGTGGTACGCGGGTAACAGAACCTTCTGCGAAGAGCCCGTAATTGTACCGAAGAAGCAGGGTGCAAACGAGGACGATGCCTGGTTGGTCGGTCTCGTGGCGGAACACTCGGACGAGAATCCAGCTGGGCTTTCACGAATCGTCGTGCTGGATTGCGTAGACGTTTCGGCCGGTCCGGTGTGTGTCATACCACTGTCGAACCGAATTCCGCACGGCTTACATGGGATGTTTGTCCCGAAAGCCAAAATGTAGCGCGCACTGGTTGTAAACGATTATTGAAACAAGAGATGTAGAATTGCATGTACAGTGCTACCGCGCTGTCTCAGCGTACCGGTAGGATACAATGTGTGCACACACGGTGCTCGATTCCAATAAGACGACATTGCCGAGCTAAATATGGAGTTCGGCAGCGATTTGCTCCAAACTTTTCCCTTTCGTCTCGATCACGTACGCCGAGGTGAAGATGAAACCAAAAAGCGAGAAAACCGCGAAGAGCATGTACACGGCGGGCGCCCCGTAAGTCTGCACGGCGGGCAAGAAGCCCTGGCCGATGCAAAAGTTGAAGATCCAGTGCGAGAGAAAGCACAACGACATGCTTTTTCCTCTCACGGCGGGTGCATAGATCTCCGAAGACAAAAGTCCCGGAACCGGACCGGCACCCATACCGAAGATGAAGACGTACGCGAGAACGGAAATGAGAGAGAGCGTCGGCGCCATAAACATGTGCGGATTCGCCGCGGACAAAGCTAAACTGACGCAACAGATCGCCATGCCGAGGAATGAAAACGTCAAAAGCGGTTTTCTGCCCGTTTTATCGAGCAATCCAGTGGCAAGAACGCTGCCCACCAAGTTGACCACGCACACGGCGATCGAGGCGAAGACGGCTGAGGTGATCCCGGCGCTCTCAAAGATGCTCGTACTGAAGTAGATGATGGCGTTGATCCCGGCGAACTGCTGAATGAAAAACAACATCACCCCCGTGATGAGCGCTCGACGGTTCGATCGCGCCGTTAAAACATCCGTCCACCGCGCCATCTTGCCGTCGGTGGCGTCATCGTTTCTTCGCGAAAGCGTCGCGCCAAACTGCGCCGTCTCCACCGCGTCCGATTCGTGGAATCGACCCTTGGATCGAAGCCACGTCGGGGATTCCGGAATCGTATTCGCCAGCGCGGCGAGGGCGACGCCGGGGATGCACGCGACCCAAAACATGATTCGCCACCAGTTTTCAGGCGGGGCGTAGTACTGGTCTCCCTGAAACGGTAGCCCGAGCACGACGGCGATGAGGATCCCGACCCCGATGGACAACTGCGGCCCGGCGCCCAAGATCCCGCGATGTTCGGGAGGAGCGAGCTCACTGATGTACATCGGAACGACGATGGACACCAAACCCACCCCGATACCGACGAGCGCGCGTCCAAAGAGGATGCCATCCAGAGTCGTCGCCGTGGCGCACGCCGCGCTTCCGAGCGCGCACGCCGCGCCCGAGAGCCCCAACGCCTTCACGCGTCCGAACGCGTCCGCGATGCCGCCCGCGGAGAACGACCCGACCGCCGCAAAGAGCAACATCGCGCTCACGACGGAGCCCTTCGCCGCGACGTCGTTCGCGATTCCGATGTCTCTCGCGAGATTCTCCAACGCCGGATTCACCACACCGCAGTGATACCCGAACGAAAACGCCCCGAGCGCGGCGACGAAGACCGGAAACGCCGCTCTCGTCAACGCCTCTCGCGCCGACATCCGTCTCGGCACCTCTGGGACCGAGAACTCGCTCGTCGAACCCGTCCCGCGCGGCGTCACCAACCGTCGCCGTTCCTCCCCTCTCGGCGACCGCACGCGCTCCCTCGGCGACGGCATCATCCCTCGTTCCACCGTCGTCGCCCACCGTTCACCGTCGTCCCGTCCCGTCGTCCG